TTAATAAGAAAGATTTCTCGCACACCAAATCAGCATATTTAGAATGATTTCTGAAGGGTCATGTGACACTGAAGACTGGAGTAATGATGCTTTGCCATCCCAGGAATAGATTTTAAAATATATTAAAGGCGCAATAGGTGATTGTCTTCAGAAACATTTTTTGTTATGCTGGTTGAAAGTCTCTTCACATCCCGATAGCAATCATTAAGTTAAGTGGTCTAAATGTATTTGTCTGTATTTATATATTCTGTGGAAGGTGTAGGATCAAGAAATGTTCGTCTAATCAAAACGTTCGGTCCGAGCGTTTTAATATGCTTTCCTACCTGCCTGTCAACGTATGTATTAGCATCCTGTCTAATATTAGCATTAGACAGGATACTCATCAGCGAATTCACGCACGCAGTGCAGACAGAGCGAGAATGGCAGGCAAACATCAACAAGCCGATCTTCCTTCCTGGTATTGTAGTACTTTTAAAGATTTATCACTGGTGAATGACACATAATGTAGCCCAGCGGTTAATCCAGTCCTCGCGCCAGCTCGTTAGAAGTGAGCTACGTGCATGAACTGTGTTCCGATCGATATGATCCCTACACAGAGTTCATTGCTCCCTACTCCCTGAGCAGGGGAAATCCGTTGAAGTTTACTTCACTTCGGAACATGGCTGGAATTGGGAACCTGATGTAGCCTATTGTGGTAATTTTGTCTCTGGTCTGTGAGTGTAAATGCGTTCAGGGGGCGTGGCTTTGGACGGCGATTGCAGGAAGGGTGGGACATTCGCTTTCAGTGCTATCAGGCTAAAGTTAGCATTTTCCAAGATCTTCTATTGTACCTTTAAGCGGTTAAAAAACGGTTACTTTTAATTGTAATAATATTGCACAATATTACTTTATTTTACTGTATTTTTGATCAAATAAATGGTGAACATAAGAGACTTCTTTCTAAAACGTTAAAAAACTTCTGAATATGTTGCAAAAATGTTGTCGGCTATTCAGGACTACTTCTGAATGTTCACCAATTTGGAAAGATTTCTTTTTGGCAGCAGAATGGTATGGTTATTGCATACCAACGAACTATCTAAACCCTGACTCATTCGCTTGGCCAATACAATATTCAAGCTCTACTAAAATACACAACAAAACAACAGGTATGAAGGGCCGAGGGCTAGTAGACCCCCCAAAATGTACATTTAGTCATTTAGCAGACACTTTTATCCAAAGTGACTTACAAATGAGGACAATAGAAGCAATCAAAACCAAAGTGCAGTGATGACAGAACCGGGCTAATATAGTCATACTTCCTGGTTCTAGTAAGAACTCTAGCTGCTGCATTTTGGACCAGCTGGAGTTTGTTTATTAAGTGTGCAGAACAACCACCCAATAAAGCATTACAATAATCTAACATTGAGGACATGTGCAGGAGACAGCTGTGCCCGTATTGTGATCAAATCCAATACAACTCCTAAATACGCTGTCCTCTGGGCAGGAGAGAGAACACTTTTCTTGGCATTGAGTCTCAATCCCAGAGACTTGAGATATGAACTAGGACAACATCCCGATGTCAAAGCCCAAGCTCTTCTAATCAGCCAGTTTTCTAATCTACAGTCGAATTAACTTAATCTTGTGGCCAGTCTAATTTCAGCCTGGCCACTACGCGAGTCACCATCTCGAGTAGTTCCTCAAATGCTTTGTCATCGTGTGAGGAGCACTCAGAGGCATTGCTCTCAATTTCCATATCGCTGGAATCAAGTTAACTTGCGTCTTCAGCTCGCTCTGAAGAAGCACCTGGGCACACTTCAGCAGTGTGCACGAGAATGTCACAATCTGGCGAGAGCATGAGAGAAAGGGATGCCAGCTCGACACGTGAACCCTATGATCTTAACAAGGACGCAGAGGCTCACCCCTCCTGAAAGAAGGCAAGCCTGGAGCAGAGCACTCCAATGGGTAATAACTCGCAGTGGTCACACTCAGCATCCTTAATGTAACAGGTTAATGAACTCAATGTGTTCTTCCCAGAGGTGGGGGCAAGTCACACATGTCCAAGTCTCAAGCAAGTCTCAAGTCCCTACCATCAAGTCTCAAGCAAGTCTCAAGTCACAGTACAAACAAATCAAGCAAGTCAAGTCAAGTCAGTGGCTCACCTCAAGCAAGTCAAGTCGAGTCCTGCTAA